TCTCAAAAAATTAGAAATTGAGCTCCCATTTGACCCAGCAATACCACTCCTGGGAATATATCCCAGAGAGGCAAAAAATGTATAGTCGAAGTGACATCTGCACTTGTTTGTTCATTGCAGCACTCTTTACAATAGCCAGAAACTGGAAGAAACCTGAATGCCCACGAACAGATGACTCGTTAAAGAAACTTTGGTACATCTACACAATGGAGTACTATGTAGCTGTTAGAAAAGATGAAGTCATGAAATTTACATACAAGTGGTACAATATGGAAAGTATCATGCTAAGCGAAATGAGTCAGAAGGAGAGGGATAGACATAGAAAGATTACATTCATCTGGGGGATATAAAGTAACAAAGTATGAGATTAATACCCAAGAATAGCTGAGATCAGCACCAGGAGGATTACTCCATAACTTAGAGGCCAGCCGGGTATCCTAGAGGAAAGGGCAGTTCAGATAGAGAAGGGAGCACCAAATAAAGGATGTTTGGAGGATCCTCCCAGGAGGGGAGATGCATGTCGAAAGTAGACTATGGACTGAACATGTTTGCCACTCAATGCCTCTTTTGCAGACCACAACACCCAAAAGGAGAGAGAGAACACAGGGGATTGCCCTGCCACAGAGACAGGGGGGATGGGGGATGGGGGTGGGAGGGATTTTATCCATGGTGGTGGAAAATGGGCACTGGTGGTGGGATGGGTATCTGATCATTGTATAATTGAAACCCAAGCACAAAAAATTGTAAATCTACAACTGTAAAAAAAATAAAATAAAATAAAGGGAAAAAATTTTTTTAAAAAAAGATTAAGTGATCATATATTGAGAGTCTGTGACAGAATATTTAACTCTATTCCATTGATCTGTGGGTCTGTTTCTAGTCCAATACCATGCTTTGTAGTACAGTTTGAAGTTGGGGAAGGTGATGCCACCCATCTTCTTTTTTCCAACGATTGCTTTAGCTATTTGTGGGGTTTTGTTGTTCCATATGAATTTCAGGAGTGTTTTGTCTATTTCTTTGAAGAATGTCATGGGTATCCTCATAGGGACTGCATTAAATCTGTATAGTGCTTTGGGGAGTATTGCCATTTTGATAATGTTAATCCTCCCTATCCATGAGCAGGGGATGTGTCTCCATTTCCTAGTATCCTCTTTTATTTCTTGAAGCAGTGTTTTTTAATTTTCTTTGTATAGATCCTTCACCTCTTTAGTTAAGCTCATTCTGAGGCTCTTGATTTTCTCAGGTAGTATTGTGAACAGGATTTTTTTTATATCTCTTTCTTCTCTCATTATTTGTGTATAGGAAAGCCATAGCCTTTTGGGTGTTGATTTTGTAACCTGCCACTTTACTATATAAACCTTTTGTTTCTAGGAGCTTTTTTGGTATAATTTTCTATGTATAGTATCATAGCGTCTGCAAATAGTGATCGCTTGACCTCTTCCTTTCCTATCTGTATGCCCTTGATATCTTTCTCTTGTCTAACTGCTATGGCGAGAACTTCCACTACTATATTGATTAGGAGTGGCAAGAGCAGACAACCTTGAAAGTGAGAATAGTTGTAGTTACCTGTCGTTGAATGTGTGAGAGAGGAATAAATCAATTATTATTATTATAAGCATTGCCTATAATAAGTGCTATGTTAATATTTACTGATATCATTTTATATATATCAATACTACACATAATGTACATGTTAACACTGTGTCAAACAATATCCTTTTTTTTTAAGGGGTTGGGGATTCTCTCAAGCAGTGTTCAGGGGCCCAGAAGCCACTCCAAGCAATTCTTGATTAGCCAGCCAGCAGTTCAGTGTGAGGCCCATGGATATGGCAGGACCAATGTCAGTGCCAGGTAGACTGGGGTGTTATCCAGCCATCCCAACAGTGCTCAATGTGCTCCAGGGAAATACTCAGTGATCCTTGAGGAAACAGGTGCTGCCAGAGTTTGAAACCGGGTCGCCACATGCAAGGCAGCACTTTGAATCCTGTCCTGTCTCTTCCACCCCTCAGATAAAATTCTTAACAAAGACTGCATTAGAATAATTTAATCCTCTTGATATGAAATCCAAATGATCACTCCTAACTGCACTGTGTTAATTTAAAATGACTATTCAATTTTATGTGCCTTATGGAATAGGCCATAAGTTGCTTTTTAAAAATAAATCCCAGATGGCATTTATCTGTTTCTTGTAAAATAAAGACAAGGAAGGAAAAAAATGAGAGTTATTTAAAATTTTTAATAAAAAAATATCACAAGATAGGATGCTGGGGAAATGGGACATTATTTTTTTTATAAGTAATCAGTACCCTCATCTTAGTACCTCAACTTTCTAATAATCATCTCATGTGTTAGCCAATAATTTCTATATTTCATAGGCATGAAAAGAGATTTTAGGTATTTAGGACTAGAATTTTTTTACTCATCTGAGTTCATTTTTTTAAAGAATTTTTAAGGTTTTTGGTATTATTTTTATAATTACTCAAATATTGGAGCACATTCTTCGTTAATAGATATCAGCAAATATTTTTTCTGTGAAGAGCCAGGGAGTAAATATTGGGAGTCATCTACATAGGACCACACAGCCTCTGTCACAGTGAGTCCCCTGTGGCGCTGGAACAGGAAGGAACACTGACTGAGCAACACAGAAGTAATCTGACAATGAATGAACAGGGCTGTGAGCCAGCTGTACTGTTACCTAGAAAAATTGATTGTGGTAGGATGAATCTGGTTCATGGACCATAATTTGCTGACCTCTGGTTCACAATTTCTTTTTCTTCTTCTGCTATGGTGCATGATAATTTATATGATAAGTTTATATGTTAAAAGTCCATTTACACATATGCATGTATATGTACTTCAATATGTGATATCACACAACAAAGTGAACATTAAGTAATTTGAGAAAAATTAAAAATTTAAATAGGAAATTAAAGTGTATTTTGTCCTTAAGTATTATATTTGAATAAGATCCAGTGTTATTCTGTTGTTTTTGTCCTAAAATCACTGTATATGATTTAATTTGCCTTTCCTTTTATCAAAGCTATCCTTAACTTATTTAAGCTGTCTTGTTATGCTGTGTAACGATGTACAATAAATGTACACATGTACATAAGGTCAAAAAAACAAGAAGCATTCTTCATTTAGTCTGTCAGCATAGATGTACAGTTCAATAGCAGATCAGATATCAATGCACATTAAAGAGAGAAAGACTTGACATCTGCAATAGTTTTTTTTAAATACAGCAGATAAGAAGAAACACAGTAGAATTCTCCAACAAATGATATTTAACAGTACAGAAAGAAGATTAAGGGACTGGAGAGATAGTACAGTGGGTAAGGTGCTTGGTTTGCATTCAGCGGACCCAGATTCAATCCCTGGCAACCTATATGTTCCCCTGAGCACTGCCAATTTCCTGAGCACAGAGTTAGGAGTAATCCCTGCCAGTTGTGACCCTAAAATGAAAAAAGAAAAGGTTAAGATGCCCAGAATCCAGCTTTAAATTCCTCTAGCTCCGTGCTCTGTGGGTTCTAGATTTTAAAATATACTTTTATATATTCTAGATTTGATGGCTTGTGAGGTACAAAACAAGCCTGATGTCTTTTTACATTTTTTTATTTCTTCCCTAACAACTAAATGTGTTAATTTTAAGTGCTATTTCAATAAGACATATTCTGCATTGTTTGAGTGGAATTTCAAATTGGAAGTATTATTTAAGAATAATGTTTAAAATAGTGATATTCTCTATTCATTTCAAGTGCTTAATACTTATATCTAAAAAATAAATGGCGTTTTGAAATGTAGAAGAGTAACAAAATAAATAGAAATGTCTATACCTAAATTGATCATAAAGTATTTGATAAAATGAAATATCAAATAATCTAAAAGTTTCATATATCACAGGAAGCCACATTATCTCATTCCTACTTTGGACAAACTTGCACGCTATCGAATGTAGCCTGCCCACAGGGCAGAGTCTGGCAAACTCCCCGTGGCGTACCAAATATGCCAAATACCAGTAACAATGATGGGTCTCATTCTCCTATTCAAAGAGCCTTGAATATAATCTCAGGGCTAGGATGAAAGAGACGTTACTGGGGCCTGCTCAAGGCAATCGACAAATAACAGGATGATGAAATGAAATGAAATGAAATCACAGGAAGCACATTATATATATGTACTGTAATTTCATGCCTTCACATTTTATATTCATTCGCATTAGTATAATCTATAAACCATGCTTTTTTGCTCTTTCATAAAGTTTTATAGTGCAAATTTCAGAAAAATCTAAAAGGAACATTTAATAGGATCTATTATATGTTTTGTGAAATATTCCCTAATTGCATATTAGGGGGTTAGTGGTTTGAAAGAGTTAAAGTGTCTCTAAAACCTCTCTTATTATCTGGGAATAATTGTAGTAGGCAGAGGGCTCATTAAGCAATATATTGACCCTCCTGTATGAATAAAGAAACTTCACATTAAGAAAAATATCTGAACATCAAAATAATTTTAGTACACTATAAAGAAAACTTAATTAGTTGAATTTTAAAAAGTTACTCTTCATTCTGTGCTGGCTAGAATCAGTGCAAACTGGGCCAGAGGCTCAGTTTTCTAAAGCTTGCTGGATGTAATTAATGATTTACCAGGACAAATATGGTCTCTTGGGAGAGAATACAGTTGTTTGCTATTTATTAGCTGAAACCTTTTAAAATGGCTTCCTTTCACATAATACTTATGGAGTTGCTCTGAACTGAACCTGAAACAGTGAGAAACATTGCAGCAGTTGGCATTTTCACTGCTGTTTTCCAAATGTGCAATAGAGCTTCGCAGGTTATAGCTTCTCAGTGATATCCAACTGTAACAAATCTTCAGGCAGTCTACTTCACATGCTTACCATTAACCAACAGAAAAACGAAAGAAGAGTTGAATTATATACTGAACTATATGATGTATTTGAATCATGAATCAAAGGTAAAAGCATTTTTAATCTTTTTTTTTTACAGAAATAAGGCAGAACATATTGACAACCTTTTGAGAACACAGCTTAAGAAACATCACCATTTCATCACTTTGTTGATTAGGTAAGACCATACGCTCTACAATAAAAACTACCCACATTTATGAAAAGCCCTTCTATTATTAGCCAGGTTTAAATTTGTTTATTATGTATTATTTAATATTTTTAATAGGGAAATACACTTGTTAATTCTCTATACCAAATAGATGTAAAATAATCACCCTTCAGAGTGTTTAGAATGACACTATCATAAATGAATGAAGTTATCTTTTTCTGAAATAAGTGTTCTGTGGGCCACAGCGATTGTACAACTGGTGGGATGTTTGCCTTACATGGACTGACCTGGTTTTAAGCTCCAGCACTACCAAGCATGTAGAACCCGGAGTAAACTCTGAGCACTAATGTATGTGACTAGAAACAAACCAAAAAAGTAAATAAATGTTTTGTAAGCCAGTCTCACCTGCTGTAAGAATATCAGTAATACTTCCTCCTCTCTTAAGCTATGCCAGGCCTGGTTCTATTTGACATTACTAACATTTATATGACTAAACATATTTGAGAACATAAGCTAAACCAGATAAACCTTTTAACAGTCCTGTCAGTAGATAGGACATCCTCATTTTAGGGACAAGGGGTGTGAGTCAGAGAAAAAAAGAGGCAGTAAATACATGGGTATTTGGCCACATTGGTCTGGGAGCTGGAGGCCTGGAGAGAATAGTCCCAGATGTTTGCCTGAGACCAGTTTATATTTGGGGAGAAATGTCTAGCAATCAGAGTAACTCAGAATGAATTGGTTCTACTGAAAAAAAAAATAGAGTACATTTACTGATAGAGCCTTTTAAGCAAGTATTCATTTTATGATCACAGTTATTAAAATCACTGCATGTAAATAAATAAATGATTATTACTCAGTTATTTATTATAGGCGGGAGTAGTATTTTCCTTAAATATACGTCTTTCTTTAGTCTTAAATTCCTATTATGAAAGCAGAATAATGTTACAGACAGATTACAAATGAGTGTTTTCTTATTCTAAGAAATGAAGAGAATGTTTAATATAATCTGAGCTCACCTCCCAAGCAGTGCTCAAGGGAACTGGAGCCACTTCCAGGATACTCAGTCATCCAGGCTAGAGGGTTCAATATTTGGACCTGGTGGTGCAATATTTCTTTGGGAGCACCACGTTTCCACCCAGTGATGCTTAGACATTTCTAGAGCTATACTCTGCAGTGCTCTGGGGGCCATGTGGTGGTGCTGGGGCTTGAACTTGGAATTTTGCAAATGCAAGGCATGTGTCCTTGACTCCTGAATTATCTCTCCAATCCTTTAATGTCAGTTCTTTTTGTTGGAAATAATTATTAGCAATCTAAAATTTATCACAAACAATTTATGCTTTAGTTATGTTATTTTTAATTTAGAAAACATGAAGAATGTTCAAAGAAAATTATAGGAAATATTAAAATAAATACCTAGGTATATTTAGCAGGATTAAACCGATATTAGCATTGCTTCAAGCTTCATTTAAATCTTTTCTTTGTTTTTGTTTGTTTGTTTGTTTGGGGGGTCACATCTAGCTGTGATCAGGGCTTTACTCCTCACTCTGCAATCAGTGATTACTCTTGACAATGTTCAGTGCTCAGGGGATCATATGTAATGCCAGGGATTGAACCTGGGTTGCCTGTCTGCAAGGCAAATGCCCTACCTACTATGTTATCTCTGCAGCTCCTGTTTAAATCTTTTCTCCAGAAATAAAATAAACATTGGCCATTACTTGGTCACACGATATCCCGTTAGTCATCGATTTGCTTGAGTGGGCACCAATAACGTCTCCCTTCGTCTCTGTCACATGCTAGTGTAGCCCACTGGCATCTGCTCACTATAGGAACACAAAGAGCCTCAAACCATTTGTTTAGGGTCTTGACAAAGAAGTCTGACCATCTCGTAAGTGGGCACTCATGTGTTCTTTTGTCTTCACGTGGAATCCAGTCGGTAACAACTCTAGTCCAGTGGTCATCTTCAAATCGCATAATGTGTCCAGCCCATCTGATTTTAGATGAGTTTGCAAATGAGACCGAGTCCCTGATTCTCGATTCCTGATTCTCAATCGTTGATGGAGGTCGGAACTCCGGATTCCTTCTGTCACTTGAGTGAAGCGTGATACTCCAAGCATAGCTCTTTTGATTCCTCTTTGGGTGACCCGAATAGCATTCTCATCCTGTTTTTGTAGGTCCCAGGTCTCTGAGGTATATGTTAGTGCAGGGAGGATGGTGGAATAGAAGAGATGTGCCCAGAGCCGGAGGTTCTTAGAATAGTGGGCTTCATTGGCCATTACATTGAAAGCAAAGCCAATCTATTTATTGTCCTTTCTTCCCAAAGTTGTCATAATCCTAAAGATGGTATAACCTTCCCATGTGTGTTTTAAAACTTTAATGACTTGTTAAGTAATAAGGTCACTTGTAATAAATGTTTACATTTAAAAGCTTACATAAATGGGGACTGGAGATGTAGTATACTTAGACATAAGGACTTGCTTTGCATGCTGCCAACCAGGCTCAATCTTTGCTCCCAGTCCCCAGAACCCCCACGGAAGTACCTCCTGAGCTTAGAGCCAGGAGTAAGTCTGAGCACCACTGTGTGTTACCCAAAACTCGCCACATTTTTAAAAAATTATGTAAATGCTAGTATATTATAATATTCATTTGCAATCTTGCCTCTTCCCAGCATTATATTTTGAGATTCAACTAAATTAATACATGAACATCTGGTTAATTCATTCTTTCTGTCCTAAAATTGGCTCATTTCAATGTGCCAGTCATTTGAAGCTCAATTTTATTAGTTATTATTTCTAAATAACTTTCAGTATTTTGTAAAAGTTAAGGCTAATATTGTTTAAGCATGATTTTCAAAGCATCTCAGGGATTTGTGTATAAGAAATTCAAGATTCTATATATGCCATAGTACTCCAATCCTGCTAATATCCCCTTTTTTTCTTATTAGAAAAAATTTTTGTTTTGTTTTGTTTTTTTATTGGTATAAGCACTTTGGTAACTAAAGGGACTCGTGATTTTCTCTGCTTTTGCCATAACCTAATAATTGAAATCTGTTTTATTTCCCCATAGATTCAATGCTGACTGTTTCCCAAATACAGTGTAAATGTAAATGCTGCCATTGAAATTTTTTAAAAATATACTTTAAAATACTCCTCCTTAATTGGTCATTGTCAATTGCTTATATGTCCTTCAGAAATTATGAGACATACTTAAAAGTACTATTTATTTCCTTGTTTTCTAACACTGCAGTTAATTCTAGACTTTAAGTAAAAGATATACGGTAGTAAGGTTTATAGAAAAAAATTTATAACTTTATTTTCTGAAAGAAATCCATGACTATTCTGAGATTGCTTGGGGAGAAAGAACTATAGTCATCTTTGCTGAGCAAATCTGAGAAAATGCAAGATTTTCTGCAAACTTCCCAAATTAGAGGTACATTGTCATTAAACAGATGAGGAAATGGAGGTCCATATATGTCATATATGTCAAATAAATTGCTTGGAGTAATATAGTTATTACAGAACCCAGATTCGAATTTATCTTTCAGAAACCCCAAAACTGACTACGAGCCAGAAGAAAGACAGAGTCAACCACATGTATTTTAGGAGGGGTGGTTCTGCAAAGCAGTGCTCAGGTGGCCCAAGGGCCATTCTCAGTAAGGCTGGGTCCCATATGTGGGCTAGATAATTCAGTGCTTGGGTAAAGTGTTGTAGTGGAAGTCACCACAGCCACATCGAGTGAGGCTCAGGGGCCACCACGGTCATACCCAATAGTGCTTACGGTCCATGCCGTGCCGGGTCTGTAAGGTTTGAGCATAAAGAGCATATGCATAGCCATTTAAGCTATCTCCTAGCTCCAGCCAAATCCCTTTGAAGCATATGTAGAACTTTTCTTCATTCCATCAATCGATAATTGACGCCTATTGGGTGAGTTGAGGAGACTGATGTTAGAAAATCATGGAAGATACAACACCCACACCCACCCCCAAGAAAGGAAACAAGCTGTAAAGAAATGTGACTTTAATTTTTTTTTTAAATGTTTCGGCTCTGGCTCTGTGCTCAAGGGTCACTCCTAGTAGAATACAGGTCATCTTTTTTGGTGACAGTGATTGAACTGGGATCAGCTGCATCCGAGGCAATCATCTTAAGCACTGTATAATCTTTCTGGCCCCAATTGTAAATAATTAGTTTTTTAAATTTTATCATATTATCTTAATACTGTTTACAGACTAAATTGCCTCATTGTGGGCAACTAAAATTAAGTTGAATGGAATATATGAGTCAGACTGTTTTATAAATGACAAAATATTCCAGTCTTGGCCATTATTACCAAATGCTGTCTAAAATTTTCTATAACTGAGGGGATTGGATTTCTGGATCATACCCAGAAATGCTCGAGGGCCACTCGTGGCTCTGTCCTGAGTCTCTTGAGGGCTCATATGTAGTGCCAGGGAAGCATAGAAAGTGCCTTAGCCCCTCTATTATCTTTCCAAACCCAGAACATTTTTCAAGTTTAGAACTTAATTATTTTATGGAGTGCTTTCCCAGGAAGTGCAAGGAACCCGCCCAAAGTTCCCAGGGTACAGATTCAGCAGTCCCATATATGGGCCTGGGGAAGTGGTGCTTCTTAGGTTCTATGATGCTAGGGTTAACTGGGTCCTTCCAGTAGTTCTTGGGGACCTTCGGGGCCATATTCAGTGGACCATGTGATGCTGGGAATCAAATTTTGGTTGAGTCCATGCATGAGCCCTATTGCTATACTATCTCCCCATCTTTAGAATTAAGAATTTTTTACTTTATCCATTTAATTGTAAATGTAAAAATTGATATATATATATGCACATATATATGTGCGTATATATATATATATATATATATATATAATCTGTACTTAGAGTCTTACTACTTCATATAGTACAAGTCTGATAGATACTTTATAGTAGCACTGTAGTACTGTAGCACTGTCATTCCATTGTTCATTGATTTGCTCAAGCAGGCACCAGTAATGTCTCCATT